CATGGCTGACTCAAACGAGCCGTACGTGGTGGTGGGAAGCCAGTACTGCGTGCCAGAAGAGTCGGTGCTTATATTGAAGGAAAAGATGTGGTCGCTGCGTGAGAAGGCCGAGATTCACGACGGTCAGGGTCAACTAGTCTTCAGGACCGAGGATAAGTACGTGAAATTGATAAACCTACTGCGTACGTTCGTGTAATTCGTGTGATCGCCCTCAAGATTGGCTCCACCTATTAATCAACGCCGCGTTTCCCAATGCTTGTCACCAATGTGGCAGGGCATGGGACATCAAGGATCGTAAGACCATTTTCAACGCGCAGGATGAGCCGGTTTGCTCGCTGGCTAGCAAAGTATTTTCAATCAGCGACACCACGTACCTCTGCGCCGGCGCCAACCCCGATCCCAGCAACGCGCTGCTCACCGCCAAGAAAGTCGTGCTGACCTGGTCACCCATTCTCAATGTGAGTTTCTATCACCTTTGTTTCATAGCTAGTGACATGTAAGGAATCAGCAGGGCAGGCATGGAAGGTGATTGGGGGGTTCTGCAACTATGTACATTGTATCCTGGGCTGGGAGTTATTTTTTGTATGCTCGACCTACAGTGGTGAGTTAGTGTGCTAGTTACAATATATTTATCCTCAGAATGGTTTTGTTTTCCCTGCTATTCCATGCAATTGTGTCTGAATTATGTTCAGGTTTTCCTGAAAGGGAATACGTCAACTGATGCACCCGACATCATTCTCAAGGGCAATTTCGTTCAGTACGATTTCAACGTACGTCCTTCCATTGTCTATCTTCTCAAAATTTCCGTATCTCCTGATAACACCGTGTTTGTCTGTCTTGATTTCTGAGCTGTGTTCTTAATCTGTTTTCTTGCATCCTCACCTACATCACTGACATGCAAGAATGTATGTCCGTGCTCTGCTTACCAGCATTTGGAAACAAAAGCAGGACGTCCATAAAGCTGGCCTTTTGCAAAACATCATTGGGCTTGATATGCACCACCACATATGCGATAACTGGTCTTTTTCTCACTTTTATTACCTCCTCATGCAGATTGCCACCTCCAGCGGCCGTATTTTGGCAAAGGTGGACCGTAAGCTCGATGTCTCGGGTGCTTTCTTGGCCACTCAGACATATGTGGTGCATGTCAAGCCCAATGTAGACAGGGCTCTGATTATGGGCCTTGTTGCTATGGCTGACAACATCTTTGTCAACAAAGTAGATGACCAGAATATGGCTAATTTGTTCAAAGTTTAGGGTATGAAGTTCTGCTATCAATGTAGGTATGGCTGTAAATGCGTATTGTGCTTCTTGCATAAATTTTTATGTACAATGATGGTTATCATCATCGATCAGAGACTGAAAACAATACGGTAAAAGGATCACTCATCAACAATGAAGAATCTTCATTATGAATCAGCAGCAAAATTGAATCTGTATCACTAGCAACAACCTTCTAGTAGAGAAGATAACTCTGGTGAGTTTGGATATCTCCCCCCATCCCTCGCTTTGTCCCGTGGGCTGCCGAACATCGCCCCAGAGATGTCTCCAGCCTTTCTCCCACGCAATTTCCCACCCGTCGTTTGAAACTACTCCAGTAGTCAACTTACCTTCTCAGGTACTAATTTCCACCACCTTTCTCCCACCCTCTTAACTGCTAGGGCTTAAAACCGGAGTCCCAAACAGGCCAAAACTGCCTCAAACTTCCTAACTTTGGTTGGGTGTGACCCAGTAGATACTGACTCAAACTTCCTAACTTCGAAAACCTTCGGGAATTTTTTCGCCACGCGAAATTGTCAAACGATTGTAGTGACGATTTCGTGAACAATTTTCGCGCCCATCCGAAACTATTTGCGAACGAATTTTGACGTTGCATTCCAGATCTGGTTACACTCGCGAGGTTTTCATACTTTACGACCCACAACCACCGATTTCGACAACACCCTGGTTCGCGAGCCAGTCACGTTTCTTGCCCCTAGCAACCTTCCTAACTTGGAAACTCTTGGACCCCGGGTTTTAAGGCGCTCACGCCTAGAGCGCCTGTCCTTGCCCTCGTGCATTAGGCGATATACCCTAGGGCACTCGCCCTAGGGCGCTCTAGTCTTAGACGCTGGAGGATAGGCCGATGGCGCTAGGCTGCTGGCCCTAGGGTGCTAGCTCCAAGGGCGTTGGCCTTGGCTTTAGCCCCTTGAGGCGTCTGGTGGAGCTGAGCAGGCGGGGTGAGGCAGGGGAGCGACATCTAGAGCGCATTAAACATCGTCTTACTACCCGCACGGGAGTTCAGCATAAGTTGATCAGAAAGAGCATAGCAGGGAGTGCCTGCGCAGGTAGAGCGGTTACAGTCGCGAAAATTGACACACGCTTCTTTGCTTCTTCGTTAAGACCTTTTCATGCCAGAAGGGCTCTGAAATTCTTTCGCACAGGTGCCAGAGACGCTGATAACATCGCACGGAGACATCTCACTAGGGTTTTGAATCTGATCCGTTGGTGAAGTGAAGTACGGGCTGTGATTGGAGGACGTGGACTCTTCCGTGTTTCTGCCTGACCATGAGGAACCGAATCGCTGATATTCCGTGTAAGCTTTAAGTTTTGCGACTCCATTAGCGCGTAGTCTCAGCGGGGGTGTGAATGCGAAGCAAGTCATTCGGTCAGTGAAGCAGCACTGAGTGATAGTTGCAAGATTTGCTGGTTTGCGGTTTTCCAGAGGAACCAGACGTAATCGCGGCGGGGTAGTATGTGGGGCGTTCTAGCAGCTAAGCAGCACTTTCATCCCACTGAACCGCACTACATGCCACCGAACGTCACTGCTTGCCACTCCGCACCATTGCATGCCACTGAACCGCATTGCATGCCACTGAACCGCACTCCAACTCATGTTGCTTACCACAGAATTCCTTTCACCTTACAGGACCTTCACGTTGCGTCACGAGTCCCGATTGGGTGTGCCGATCTGCTACTTGAATACCTGTTCTCGGGTTTTGATCTGTCTTGAGAGGTCTTTAAGTAATTTTGTTATCTGTGGCATAAGTTTCTGTTTTAGCTTACCACTGCAATTACCCTCCTTGGCTTCTTTCTGAGCAACCAATCATGCCCGTGTTTCTCTTCCATCGTAGAATTCCTTGCTGTTGTTTTATACATCTCCCTGCTCATTCACGTTTTCGAATATTGAGGCGCCTCAAAAGTCGGAGCAACCAATCATGCCCGTGTTTCTCTTCCATCGTAGAATTCCATCCTGTTGTTTTATACATCTCCCTGCTCATTCACGTTGTTGGTTTCGCCCGTGCAGTGGTACCCTCCGGCCTATCATGTGATGACACGTATCGCCATATCCACCACTCGCTCCTCCTCCTGCAGCAAGTGTCAGAAGCCGTGCTGCAGCGAGTACAGCAGAGGGTACGGTTATGTAGCCTGAAGCAGATACACTTTCTCCCTTCTTCGTTCCTAGATTTCGTTCCACTCGCTCCTCTTCCTGCAGCAAGTGTCGGAAGCCGTGCTGCAGAGAGTGCAGCAGAGGGTACGCTTATGCAGCCTGTAATAGATTATCTGTCTCCCTTGCTCGCTCCTACTTGTCGTTCCACTCGCTCCTCTTCCTGCAGCAAGTGTCGGAAGCCGTGCTGCAGAGAGTGCAGCAGAGGGTACGCTTATGCAGCCTGTAATAGATTATCTGTCTCCCTTGCTCGCTCCTACTTGTCGTTCCACTCGCTCCTCTTCCTGCACCAAGTCTCAGAAGCCGTGCTGCAGAGAGTGCAGCAGAGGGTACGCTTATGCAGCCTGTAATAGATTATCTGTCTCCCTTGCTCGCTCCTACTTGTTGTTCCACTCGCTCCTCTTCCTGCACCAAGTGTCAGAAGCCGTGCTGCAGAGAGTGCAGCAGAGGGTACGCTTATGTGGCCTGTAATACAGTATCTCTCGCCCTAGTCCCGACTGTGCATTCCATGGCTGAAATTGCAGCAATTGTTAGAATTCGTGCCGCAGAGAGTACAGCAAAAGGTACGTTCCTGTAACCTGTAATACAGAGTGCAGCAGCGGGTACGCTCATGTAGCCTGTAATACAGTATCTCTCGCCCTAGTCCCGACTGTGCATTCCATGGCGTCTCGTCTTGTCATGCAGCAAGTGTCAGAAGGCTGCTTTTGAGGCGCCTCAAAAACAGACTTGACATGCAGCAAGTGCCAGAAGGCCAATTGCAAGAAGTGCAGCACAGGTTTTGTTTCGCGATTTGGATCTGGTAACCTTCTCAGTGTTACTTTCCCGAGCTCCTGTTCCCTCCTTGTGGCTTCCCCTTCTAATTCTTAATGTGTTCCCTTCTCATCTTTGTCTAAATCTCCTATTTCTGTCCTTTTTTGTTGTATCTTCTTTTTGCTTTCGTGATTTCGATTTGCACTGATGGCAAAGCTGTTTGGTGACTTGACATGAACAAAGAGAGTTGCAATTTCAGAAACAATATTTGGTCATGGTGTGAAATGAGACAAGTTCTGAAGCACCTCAAAACCAGGAACAACAAACTGCGGTCGTTGATAGCTTTTTGCTTGTGTGACTTCGTGCTTTCTTTCTCGCATCCTTTTTTTGTTCTCCTCTGCAGGTTGAGGAAGAGGCAAAGCTGGTTGCTGACATCAGCAAGAGAATCGCAACCGCAAGCGTAAGCGAATCAGTTTATCGCCATGTGCCAACTAGCATTTCCAGTTGAATGACATGATCTTGCTTCGTATAGAATGTTGACGCTCTTTCCCAGGCAAAACTCAATCGTTGCCGAAACCATTTCCTTTGCATGCATCCACTTACACTCCTTCCAAGCTTCTAATTTCCTGCGTCCAGTGTTTCATTCATTAGTTTACCCCCGAATCTCTGCTGTTCTGTTTTCTTTTATAATGTTCTGTTCTGTTTTGTTTTCTTCTTTGTTCTTCCTGCTGTGAACAAGCCTTGCTTGCTTTCTCCCCGTTCCACCTGTGTTCAATATTCTGTCTACCAGAATTTTTATTATTCTAAGAAAACGTCTACCACAATGATTCCATTTGTAAGGACAGAAGCAGGCAGGTCCCATCTCGCCACCACAGCACCTGCCCCACATTCACTTCCCCATACCCATTCTCACATGTACCCTTCTCTTATCCGCCATCCCTCTGTTGCTCTGTGCCATGACAGAAGCAGGTGGATTCACTCCTTTCCACCAGGGCACCAGTCCACATACAATCCCCTGCGTCTCACATGCACCCTTGTATCTCCCTGTTCACCATCCCTCCTTCCCCCCCATTCGCCATGACAGAAGCAGGTGGATTCACTCCTCTCCACCAGAGCCCCAGTCCACATACAATCCCCCGCGTCTCTACCAACCCCAGCAACAAGACTCACGAGACTGACCAGTCAACCCCCCCATGTGCACAACAATCCAAGCCTCACCAGTGCAGGCTCTTCCTGCAGCCTTCTCTTTCCTGCCACAGAGCCACTCCTGCTGGAAGCAGAAACTGCTACACCCGGTGCTACCAGTGCAACCAGTGCTAGCAAACCTACCACTGCCAGCGTTGCACAATCCGCGAACGCTTCCCAGAACCTTCCCGGACAGCCACTTCCCACACCACCCGCACTTCCAGCTTCCCTAGTTTCAGAAGATTCTTCAATAGGCACTTCTTCCTCTGCTGAACTCCTTGCTGGTGACTATATTGAAGGGGAAAGCACACCTGGAGCGGACAGCAGCGTGGGGGATCCGAGGGGGTTTCTGGCCGCTCCACAGCTGGCCGCTTTCTTTGCAACCTCCTCCATCGCTGCTGCAGGGATTCCTAGTACCTCTGTGACAGGACTTCCCAATGTTAGAGGGGATTTGGCTGTCACAGGGGTATCTTCTGCTCCTATTTCCCGGGCTTCAGGTGGAGATGGGGCAGGAGAGGGAGCCTTAGGAGGGGTGCTCTTATCGGGTAAAGAAGGAAGAGGAGCAGCAAGGGAGGTGCTTCTGCCTAACCCCCCTGGGGGGATGATGCTTCTCAGTGACTTGTTGCCTGCTAGCAGTGCCACGTCCCACAGGTAAGTTGCGCTTGTTGTTTTTTTTAGGGGCCCCAAAAAATCGCTGTTGCCTGTTACCAGTGCCGCGTCTTATGGGTAAGTTGCGGTTGCCGTTCTGAGTGCCTAAAAAAATGCTTATTGTCTGCTAGCAGTGTGGCGTCCCATGGGTAAGTCTTTTGAGTGCTTCAAAAGGCGCCTCAAGAGTCTATTGAGGAGCCTCAAAAGTCTGCTAGCAGTGTGGCGTCCCATGGGTAAGTTGCAGTTGTTTCTTTACCTAACGCTGCCTGGAAATGCTCAACTCATGAGTTTGGTCCTCGACTTGACCCGTGTGCATCTTGACTACTCTTGAGGCGCCTAAAATATATATATAAACATTTGAGGCGACTTGGAGTTGCTTCTCAACAACCTGCTGCTCGCACTGAATATTCTCTTCATGCATTTGGTCCCCGCATTTTTGCATCTGGAATGCAAAAGCACCCTCAGACGATGCCACAGATGCCCTCTTTTTCCAGAGATGCCCTTGTTCCTTCACTCATGCCATTTCCCCATTCATGTTGTTCCCCCTATCTTTTCTTTTCTTTTCTTTATTTATTTCTTTTTCTTTTTTCTCCCTAACAATTCCAAACAGCAACTCGCTCGATTTGCAAGGCACTGCCTCTGTTGAAGGTGCGAATTCGGGAGTGGAAGAGGCGAGAGAATCTCGAGCATTTGTCACGCGTGCAGCCACGACCACTGCAGAGCGGTGCCTTGAGCTACTGCAGCAGCCGCTCACTCCCTTGGTGAGTTGCAAGTCACTTGTTAAGGCGCTTGTAGAACGAGAACCTGGAGCAGTGCACACGCATGCAGCAAGAACCACTGCAGAGCGGCGGTGCCTTGAGCTGCTGCAGCAGCCACTCACTCCCTTGGTGAGTTGCAGGTCTTTTCTTTTGAGCGCCTGAAACGTGAGAGTGTGCAGCAGTTACACATGCACGCACACACCCATTACCACTGCAGACCGGTGCCTTGAGCTGCTGCAGCAGCCACTCACTCCCTTGGTGAGTTACAGGTCTGTCCTTTTAGGCACCTGAAAGCCGAGAATCTGGGGCAGTGCACACGCATGCAGCAAGAATCACTGCAGAGCGGTGGTGCCTTGAGCTACTGCAGCAGCCACTCACTCCCTATGTGAGTTTGGATCAGCCATTCACTCTCTGTAGCTGTTTTTTGAAGCATCTAAATCTGGAGCGTTAGTCACACTTGCAGCCACGACCACTGCAGAGCGGTGCCTTGAGCTGCTGCAGCAACCACGCCCTTGGTGAGTTGAGAGGGTAATTGACCGTTGTCCCTTATCTCGTTGCTTTTTGTCTATGGTAATGGCATTTCGATGCCCTGCTTTACGCGAGTTAACCGAGGCAGTATTGCTGGAACTTTATCAAGACACGAGTTTCTTTTCATCGGGCCGTGTTCTGTGGATTCTGCATTGGCACGTTTGCAGGCAATGTCGGAGTTCCAGTTTCAACCGCAGCTCTCCAAGGCCCTCGACTTCTCACTTTCGGATTCCTTGCCACTTCCTTTCGGGGCATCTCCTGGTGATTCTCCTGGTTTTCTTGGCGGACCTGATGAGTCATAGGGTGCAGTTATGTGCAATCCATTGCCACAACCATGTTGAAATGATACAGCATGTTTTTTAATGCAATGTTCATATGAAACAAGATTTGACGTTAACGTCGGAAGGGTTGCGTAGAAGCTATCATAAGCACTTGTTTTTTTACCTACAATTATTATATCACAGTACTTCTTATTGGGTTTGTTTATTTGCAGCAAAATCTAATGTGTCAGATAGGTGGGTCGTGGTTACGCATGTGTCGCCACCTGACAGTAGTTCCAGATGCGTGTGTTTTTTTCTGGTCTGTCATACGGTATGCCCAAGTTCTGTTTTGGCTTGCAATTCGCCCCATCGTCCTAAAACTGTACTCGTTTCATGCGTTAGTTTGTTTGCCTTCGGTTGATATATCTCAGCGGACAAGCGAGTCCGCCCGGGGGAGCTCGCTGCCCGCGGGCAAAAAAAATAAAACCCTATCCGGCATGCATCCGGTCAGGGAGGCATCAACCCTAAACACGGGGAGGCATGGATTTAGGGTTGATGCCTCCCTCGGATGGCATGCCATCCGATAGGGTTTTAGTTTTTTCCTGCCCGGGGCAGCATGTCGTCAGGTCGTCAGAGAGTCGTCAGGCCTGACGACCCGTTTCCGCTGAGATATTCCGCAGAAGATTTTCTTGCCAGCACCACAAAAAATCCTTCCTTTTGTCCGCTGTCATATCGAATTCTCCGCTGACTTGGTTTCTTGAAATCGACCACCTGCTCTACTCTGCTCTCTCTGCCCGTCGCGTTGTTGCTCTGCGCATTCCGTTTCCCTTCCCAGCTGTCAACTCGAACTCTGTCTGCTCTTGGTTCCTCGAATTCCCCCTGTACCTGCTCTCTCTGCCATTTTCTCCCAACCCACCTATCGCGTTTTCCTAACACCCAGCCGCCGCCTCTACCTGTTACCCCGCAGTCGCCCCTCCCTCCTACCCTCCCGTCGCCATTCCCTCCCATCCCGCCGCCACCTCTCCCTCCCATCCCGCCACCTCTCACCCTGCCGTCGCCTCTCACTCCCACCTCCCTGTCGCCTCTCCCTCACACCCCGCCATCGCCACTCCCTCCCCACCCCACCGTCGCCACTCCCTCCCATCCCGCCGTCGCCTCCCTCCATCCCGCCGTCGCCTCCCTCCATCCCGCCGTCGCCTCCCTCCATCCCGCCGTCGCCTCCCTCCATCCCGCCGCCGCCTCCCTCCATCCCGCCGTCGCCTCCCTCCATCCCGCCGTCGCCTCTCCTTCCTCCGTCGCCTCCGGCGACAGGTGCACGAGCGCAACCGCGAGTTGGTGCGCGAGCGCGGGTTGGTGCGCGAGCGTGGGTTGGTGCGCCCGCGGGGATTGGTGTGCCAGCGCGGGTTGTAGGCACCGTGGTTATGAGGTGCGTTCCGGTCCCTTCATCCTCCCTCTCCCCTCTGAAATTTACTTTTTGTTTTGCTCTCTTTGTAAATTTTGTGTGTCGATTGGCCTCCTCTTGCATTGCACTTTCATTTGACGAAGGGGAGAGACGGAGCGCGAGGGAGAGCGCGTGAGAGAGCGCGTGAGAGAGGGCATGAGAGTTCGCGTGAGAGTGCGCGTGAGAGAGCGCGTGACAGCGCGTGAGAGAGAGCGTGACAGCACGCCTGAGAGTGCGCGTGCGAGCGCGCGTGAGAGAGCGCGTGAGAGAGCGCGTGAGAGGGCGCGTGAGAGAGCGCGTGAGAGCGCGCGGGTGAGAGCGCGTGAGAGGGCGCGTGAGAGGGCGCGTGAGAGAGCGCGTGAGAGTGCGCGTGAGAGTGCGCGTGAGAGTGCGCGTGAGAGTGCACGTGAGAGAGCGCGTTAGAGAGGGCGTGAGAGTGCGCGTGAGAGAGCGTGTGAGAGTGCGCGTGAGAGAGCGCGTGAGAGCGCGTGAGAGAGCGCGTGAGAGAGGACTTGAGAGAGCGCGTGGGAGTGCGCGTGAGAGTGCGTGTGAGTGCGCGTGAGAGGGCGCGTGAGAGAGCGCGTGAGAGTGCGCGTGAGAGTGCACGTGAGAGAGCGCGTGAGAGAGGGCGTGAGAGTGCGCGTGAGAGAGCGTGTGAGAGTGCGCGTGAGAGAGCGCGTGAGAGCGCGTGAGAGAGCGCGTGAGAGTGCGCATGAGAGTGCGCGTGAGAGAGCGTGTGAGAGTGCGCGTGAGAGAGCGCGTGAGAGTGCGCGTGCGAGAGGGCGTGGGAGAGGGCGTGGGAGAGCGCGTGAGAGTGCGCGTGGGAGTCCGTGTGAGAGTGCACGTGAGAGAGCGCGTGAAAGAGCGCGTGAGAGAGCGTGTGAGAGAGTGTGTGAGAGAGCGCGTGAGAGTGCGCGTGAGAGAGGGCGTGAGAGAGGGCGTGAGAGAGGGCGTGAGAGAGCACGTGAGGGTGCGTGTGAGAGTGCGTGTGAGAGTGCGCGTGAGAGAGCTCGTGAGAGGGCGCGTGAGAGTGCGCGTGAGAGAGCGTGTGAGAGTGCGCGTGAGAGAGCGCGTGAGAGCGCGTGAGAGGGCGCGTGAGAGCACACGTGAGAGAGCGCGTGAGAGGGCGCGTGAGAGAGCGCGTGAGAGTGCGCGTGAGAGAGGGAATGGGAGAGGGCGTGAGAGAGCGCGTGGGAGTGCGCGTGGAAGTGCGCGTGAGAGAGCGCGTGAGAGAGAGCATGAGAGAGCGCGTGAGGGAGCGCGTGAGAGAGAGCGTGAGAGTGCGCGTGAGAGTGCGCATGAGAGTCCGTGTGAGAGTGCACGTGAGAGAGCGCGTGAAAGAGCGCATGAGAGAGCGCGTGAAAGAGCGCGTGAAAAGAGCGCGTAAGAGTGCGCGTGAGAGAGGGCGTGAGAGAGGGCGTGAAAGGGGGCGTGAGAGAGCACGTGAGGGTGCGTGTGAGAGTTCGTGTGAGAGAGCGCATGAGAGAGCGCGTGAGAGAGAGCGTGAGAGTGAGCGTGAGAGTGCGCGTGAGAGTGCGCGTGAGAGTCCGTGTGAGAGTGCACGTGAGAGAGCGCGTGAGAGAGCGCGTGAGAGAGCGCGTGAGAGTGCGCGTCAGAGAGGGCGTGAGAGAGCACGTGAGGGTGCGTGTGAGAGTGCGTGTGAGAGTGCGCGTGAGAGAGCGCGTGAGAGAGCGCATGAGAGAGCGTGTGAGGGAGCGCGTGAGAGAGCGCGTGAGAGTGCGCGTGAGAGTGCACGTGAGAGAGCGCGTGGGAGTGCGCGTGAGAGAGCGCGTGAGAGAGCGCATGAGAGAGCGCGTGAGGGAGCGCGTGAGAGAGAGCGTGAGAGTGCGCGTGAGAGTGCGCGTGAGAGTGCGTGTGAGAGTCCGTGTGAGAGTGCACGTGAGAGAGCGTGTGAAAGAGCGCGTGAGAGAGCGCGTGAGAGAGCGCGTGAGAGAGCGCGTGAGAGTGCGCGTGAGAGAGGGCGTGAGAGAGGGCGTGAGAGAGGGCGTGAGAGAGGGCGTGAGAGAGCACGTGAGGGTGCGTGTGAGAGACGCATGAGAGAGCGTGTGAGAGAGCGCGTGAGAGAGCGCTTGAGAGAGCGCGTGAGAGAGTGTGTGAGAGAGCGCATGAGTGAGTGCGTGAGAGAGAGCACATGAGAAAGCGCGTGAGAGAGCGCGTGAGAGTGCGCGTGAGAGTGCGCGTGAGAGGGCGCGTGAGAGAGCGTGTGAGAGCACGTGCAATGCATGTGAGGGAGGGTGATTTGTATTTCTTGCTTGGCCCCCTGTAAGAGCACATGTGTTGCAGTATCCTGTTTTCGCTTTCTTGTACACACTGTGTGAACATCAACTGTTTTTTGTGCAAGGTGTGTTTTGCTTTCTTTGTTCTTGCTTTCTTGTGCAGGGCGTGTGTGTGTTGACTTCCCTGTTTTTGCTTGGGTGTGTGTATGTTGTTGACTTCCCTGTTTTTGCTTTGTGCAGGGCGTGTGTGTGTCGACTTCTCTGATTTTGCTTTGTGCAGGGCGCGTGCGTGAGCTGAGAAGGGAGATGAGGGAGTGGGATGGAGATGAGGGAAGGAGGGAGGGAGGGTTGTAGGGAGGGTAAGGTGGGATAGGCTAGCAATTATTTATGCATTTCTGAATTTATTCATGACGGTTGTGTGTTTATTACGGTATCTGTATCTATCTGTGCTTGTTTGCGTGTGTGTTCATGTCTGTTCGTTATGTTTGTTTCACTGTGGGGTTGCACTTTCACAACCGCTACGTGGTGTTGTATGTAGTCTTTTTACGTGCGTTTGCATTCGTGTTTGTGGGATGTGTGTTTCAAAGTGTGGTATTACTGTGTGTTATGTATGCAATTAGAGGTTGTTAATCGTCTTTGGGGCAGCGTGTTTTCGCTGTTTCAACGACCCCATCAACCTCTGTTGCTACATGATGCATCTTAACATTCACTTTGAAGCATCCACACCACCTCATACTTTGTTGTTCATTTGTACAATTACATTCGTTCGTGTTGATACCGGAATATTATGCTCGGCCGTACCATCCGCCGTATTTATCGACTATGCTGGGACGGTCGAGCAAATTCTTGGTTTCAACATGATACGCACCGGTATTTGGTTTCACATATGGGGATCTCATTCAAGAGTGATTTTTATTCACTATTGGAGGCATCCATTTGAACACAGTTAAAAAACGTTCAAATTGGTGCTCCAAAGAGTGCGTAAAAGTCACTATTCAAATGATATCCCCAAAATGTGAAACCAGATATATAGGGTTGCTACGCAACCCAAAAAGGATGTGACATGCTCCTTTTTTTATATCATTATTACGAAATATCGTCCCTGGTTTTTTTAAGAAAGGTATTGAAAGGGCGGTTGTTGGTGGGCAAACTTGGTGAAAGGTAGACGGTATAATAATAAAAGTATATTTGTGAAACGACCGAGTGTACAATTTGGACATCACTCAATTCTTGCATTATTGCGAAGACGCCTGCCTGGTTTTTGGTTCCCCTCGCTGCGCCGCAGATTGCGGCAGACTTGAGCCTCCAATAAAACAATCTCAATGTTGAGTTGACATTTCCCATCCCATCCCGACCCAGCAACACGTTCAATTCTCACAGCTGTTGTTTGGAAACTGGAACGCGTACCTCCAACTCACACCGTTCCTTCCACCCAATCCCTCTCTAGTACCTTTTTGGATCCCTGCTCGTATTTACCTCCTCATCTTCTCTACTGGCTTTTTCTGTTCTTGTTTTTATTTTTTCGGTGATTGGTTCAGGCGAATTCTAGCTGTATAACAGTCTTCCAACATCCCGAGTCGACAGCATTTTCTCAAGTTTACGAAAGTAACTAGAGGACACCTACGCAGTCTGTTCATTATCGATTGAAATTCCAGGCGCCATTTCGACTTCTAATCAATCACGCGACCCGCGTCAAGCATAAAAACCTTGTGCCTTCTGAATCAACGTCTATCGGAATCAGGAGGTTAATTGAGGTCAATCGGGTTCAATCGGAGTCAACCAGGGTCAACCATGGCGACACCTCCGTCTTCGGCGCCGATGGGCGCGTGGACGACCGGCCTCTGCGGCTGCGCCGAGGATTGCGGCACCTGTAAGCCCAATGTTCAGTGATGTGTTGCGATTTATTGAAGCGTTTTGTCTTTCCAAGCGAGTTGCGATTAGCGCTTTCTATATTTCCAGTTTGCGTTGCTCCTCAGGCTGTTCTTTAGATTCATTTTCTTCTGTCGAGTTCGTCTCAAGTCTATAATTCAGTTTTGTCTTGTTGGAAGCTTTTTCTTGGTGTTTTTGCTGTCGGGTCGTTATCGTTTCGCCTCTGAATTTGGACTCTCGACACGCTTTGAAGATCCGGAGATTGATGCGCCTTGTGTGACCTTCGTGCCTACGGATGCTTTCAGGTCCTTGCGTTGTGTTTTCTGACTTCCTTACTTTCTTTCTTTACATCTTTCTTCCTTACTTGTATTTATTTCTTTATTTATTTCTTCCTTTATTTATATCTTTCCATCTTTCTCTTTTTCTGAGGCGTTTTCCTGCAGGTTGCTGTGCGCTCTGGTGTCCATGCATCATCGTCGGCCGAAACGCGGAGATTGTTACAGACGGCTTAACAGGTAACATGGCTTCACAAGTGAATCGCTTTCCTGATGGCGTCTCAAGGAATTCATGCTTTTCGAGACGGTGCCAGCGCCACGTGCTTCAACTACAGTAACTTGCAGCCGGCTCAGTATGAAGGCTGCTCGGTGGGTAGTATCGTAGATGATCAATGGTGAATGGTGAATGGTGAATGGTGAACAGTGAATAGTGACCCTTGCGAGGCCACGTGGCGATCCTGCGTTGAGCATCGGATGTGCTACCGCCGTTCTTTACCACCCTGAAATGGCAAATGAAACTGGCCAATTGTTACGTGCATTCTAGTTGACCATTTTTTTCTTAGTCAAAATCAGCGTGCCTTGTCTCTTGTTCTCGTTCGTCTCCTCTCCGTTTGTACCAACACATCCCCCATTCCCCTCCTTGTTGCTTCCCTGTTGCTTCCTTGGCCCACCAGACTCCGGCACCCCGCCTGCTGCCTCTGGTCTCTTCAAGCTCTCGTCTGTATGGGCTGCCTTGCACTGATATTCATAAGTCACCTCTTCCCTGTTGCTTCTCTTGGCTTCCCTGCCTTGGCCCACCAGACTCCAGCACCGCGTGCTGCCTCTGGTATCTCATCCAGATCCACGTCAGCGTCGGCATGGGCTGCCTCTTAAGTTGACTCAAGCAAGATTCGCCTCTTTCCCTCCTACCCTGCAACTTGCGTGCTCCAGTTTTCTCCGTTTTGCTTCCTTCGCCGCACCAGACTCCGGCACCACGTGCTGCCTCTGGTACATCATCCAGATCTTTCATCGTCATAGGCTCCTGCTACTTCCTACCGCAAGTTAAACGCAAGAAGTCACCTCTTTCCTTCTTCCCTGCTCCCCTGGACCCACCAGATTCTGGAACCGCCTGCTGCCTCTGGTACATCATTCAGATCTTCCTCGGCATGGGCTGCTGCTACTCCTGCGGTAAGCCCCTGGTGCCCTTAACGGAGCAGATTGTAACGGGTATTTATTGCCCACCAGACTCCGGCACCGCCTGCTGCCTCGGGTATCTCATCGAGGTCCTCGTCTGTATGGGCTGCCTTTATTCCTGCGGTAAGGCTCTTGTGGCTTTGACGAAGCAGACTGTAACGAGGTGAACGGGTTTAAAGAAGTGCTTCGTTCGAATGATGCAGGCTCTGCAAATCGGGTCTTCTTTGCCTTGTCTTCTGTTAACATGAGCGAGGGCTGTGTGATTGGGCCCCTTAGCCTTCTCTCCTCCTCTCCCCCGCCCCCCCCTTTCGTTCCTTTACTCCTTTCCCTCTTGTCCTCTCGTCCCCTCCCTCTCTTCCCCTCCTCCTCCTCCTCTCCTCCTCGTCCTCGCGTTTTTTACTGTAACGGATTGAATTGTGACCAAAGAAAAGGCACGTAAATGAGCAAGGCTCGGCTTCCAATCTCGTGCCATCTTTCGTTTCAGTCGCTCCTGTCGTTCCAATCTCGTGCCATCTATAGGCTAGACTCTACTTGAGCCTTGTTCCTTCTCCTCTCCTCTCACCATCTATCTGCCTCCCATCGTCACCCTCCCATTGTCCACCTTTCTACATTCATTTCTGAGAATTCTCAAAAGTGATTTCAACATGCCTTTCCTCATTCACACTCTGCCAGGCTTCCGCCAGAAGCTGCTGCAGATGCACGTTCTGCCAGCCAATACAGGCCCTGCATGCTCGTCTCTCACTGCCCATCTCCGCTCCCCTGTTGCGTGTCACCCTATCCCGGCTTCTCCGCAAGGCTTCCGCCAGAGGCTGCTGCAGAAGCACATGCTGCCAGCCAATACAGGCCCTGCATGCTCGTCTCTCACTGCCCATCTCCACTCACCTATTTCCGGTATCCCTATCCCTGCTTCTCCGCCAAACTTCCGCCAGAGGCTGCTGCAGAAGCACCTGCTGTCATCCAGTCCAAGCCCTGCATGCTCATCTGTCACTACCCATCTCCAATCCCCTATTGCCTCTCTCCCTATCCCGGCTTCTCCGCCAGGCCTATCCCACCAGAAGCTGCTGCAGCAGCCAAGCCGTTTGGGGATTGAGCCCTTTCTTACACGCTCATCTCCCATTGCCTATCTCCCATTGCCCCCATTGCCCATCTCCTTATCCCCAAACTTGCACCAGGCTTCCGCAAGAAGCTGAGGCACAAGTACATGCTGCCAGCCAAGCCCTGCACTATGAGTCAATTCAGCAGACTCAACATCATGCCTTTTTTCCGATGCCCTTCCATTCCCTACTTTCTCCCAGGCTTCCGCAAGAGGCTGAGGAACAAGTACATGCTGCCAGCCAGGCCCTGCGGGGATTGCTGCGTGCACACCTTCTGCTTCATGTGCGCCATCTGCCAGGAGTATCGCGAGCTCAAGATCCGAGGCTGGGAGCCCAAGCTCGGTAAGTCCGACGCTGTAGCCCAGGCTCGGTAAGGCAGAGGCTTGGGTAGTGCGTTGGGGACTGCTGCGTGCACACCTTCTGCTTCCTCTGCGCCATCTGCCAGGAGTACCGCGAGCTCAAGAACCGAGGCTGGGAGCCCAAGCTCGGTAAGTCCGAGGCTGTAGTCCAGGCTCGGTAAGTCACAGGCTCGGGTACTGCGTTGGGGACTGCTGTGTGCACACCTTCTGCTTCCTCTGCGCCATCTGCCAGGAGTATTGCGAGCTCAAGATCCGAGGCTGGGAGCCCAAGCTCGGTAAGTCAGAGGC